TTATTTGCACGATAAGGAGGTTAGATGATCTCTAAGTTTCCTTTCAGTTCTAGATGTGTGATCCTCTGAAAGTATGAATATCTGAAGGAATGGAACTAGGAATAGAAGAGAGTCTGAAGAAAAAAGAGGCAAAATTTATTTGCTTAAAAATCTCATTAAGCCAGCCCTGTTTGGAATCCATCACTGATTTAAAATAACAACACTATAAATATAAATGAATGTTAAGTGGCACATGTTCTTTGAATTCACCAAATTATTATAATTCAAAAAGGAGAAATGAAAGAGAAAATATTTGATTTTTTTTCTCTATACTATTTCCTTTTGCTTCTCAGCAGGTGTAGAAGCTTTTCAAAGACTCAGTAGGACTGCCAGAGAGGTGTGTGAGTTGAAAGCAAAAACGACATTTGTTTTAATACTGTTCATGCTTTAAACAATTTTTTAATCAACTCTTTAGCCAGATTCTTAAAGGCTCAACTAAGGGCACATTTGTGTTCCCAGGAACACACGAATATCTCTATTTTAGCAGTAAGCATATACTAAGAAAAGAGAGGAAAGTATTTTTCAAGTAAACATGACATGATCTTTTCTGCCAGAGTGCCCCTGGTCAGACAGCTGCTGTACTGCTGCATTGGAGTGGTGAAGAAAAAAGACATAAAATGGGAGCTGGACCAGATGATCCCTAAGGTTCCTCCTGACTCTAACAGCCTATGATTATATGGTCCCACAATGTAGCCTTTGGATGCATCCCCACTGAGACAAGTGCTATTATTTGCCACATCCTAATTTCTTTTGGCAAAAGCCTGAATCCAATATTTTTATTCTTATTCTTTTTATTTCAGGAAATTGACAAACCCCAAATACCAAATAATGTTATGTTTCATGAGTGCGGGTTTTGCCAGGAAAATCACTTGTGATTCTGTATTGGGGTGCTGATGCAGGGCTGATGGCTGCCCGCAGCTATGGAAAAGTAACACTGCAAAGTCACTGAGGATTGGCTAATAGACTGTAACTCTCAGGATATGGTTTAGTGGAAATGAATGCCATTTCCCTTTGAGGAGGACAGCCCCCTGCTAATGATACAGCTTAAATAGTTATTTATTTTGTTCACATCGGGGACTATATACTTGAGTAAATGGAAAACCATCTTAAAATGTTAAGCCTTAACCCCAATCCCCTCTCCCAATCCTAACCTGAACAGTAATTCCCATAGCTATTCTTTACAAGTACCCAATTGATCATGGTTCTTTAGTCCTCTACTTCCCTTTAAAATGAAAATTCATTTTAAACTTCATGTGGTCAGCTGGGGAGGCTGAAGCTGGCAGATTTGTGGAGCTTGGGAGTTCTGAGCTGCAATGGGCTAAGCTGGTCTGAGTGTCTACACTAGGTTTGGCATTACAATACTGACACCCAAGTTGGCGTAGCCTGCCAGGTTGTTTGAAGAGGGGAAAACCAGTCAAGGCAAAAAACTGATCAAGTCAAAGCTCCCATGCTGTTCAATGGTGGAATCAGACCCGTGAGCAGCCCTTGCACTTCAAGGACAGACAAGAAATGGAGATACTATATATATATATAGTATATATACATATATACTATATAAACACACATGTATATATTTGTGTGTGTGTTTGTATAGGCATCTATGTACACATGCACATATATGTATATTTTAATGTAATGCATCTGTCATAGCTAAAACTCAAACATAATCTAATTCTTAATAGCAGTAAAGAACAGTTAAATTCATAAATAATGTTATCATTTACACTTCCATTCTCAAAGCTAATATTTAACCTGATCTCTCTTGTTCTTAATTATGGGCCTTAGTTACTATTAGCAATGAAAGTGTGCTTTCATTTTACAAGTATGTTTCAATTCTATAAGTATTTAATTTTGCATCAGGGAGCTAAGCTTACTAGAATTCCATTTGTTCACCAGCCTAAAAGAAGGTATCAAACTTTTTTTAAATGTTTATTATGTCCCACATACTGTACTAAGCAGCAGGGATACAAATACAAAGAAAAAGGAATACTGTTAATCACCTCCAAAAAAAAGTTCAAACAGTTTTGAAAATAAAATTATAAATCAGACCATAAAACATCAATCAACTAACTTGTTACAAGTATTATGAAGTATTACTGATGGTGGTGATGGTGATACTAATCATCAAAGTGGAAGTAGTAATCATGGAAATGAAGCAGCTAGATGGAGCAGTGGATAGAGTACCAAGCCTAGAGTCAGGAAGACACATATTCCTGAATTCAAATCTGGCCTCAGACACTTACTAGCTGTGTGACCCTGGGCAAGTCACTTCACCCTGTTTCTTCATGCCTCAGTTTCTTCATCTGTAAAATGAGCTGGAGAAGGAAATCACAAACCCCTCCAGTATCTTTGCCAAGAAAACTGCAAACAGGGTGGGGCAGCTAGGTGGTGGGCTGGATAGAGCACTGGCCTTGGAGTCAGGAGGGTTTTGTTGGCAAAGATACTGGAGTAGTTTGCCCTTTCCTTCTCCAGTGGATTAAGCAAACAGAGGTTAAGTGACTTGTCCAGAGTCACGCAGCTAGTGAGTATCTGATGCTGGATTTTAACTCTGTGCACTGAGCCATCTGACTGCCTATAAACTGCCCAACTATTAAATCTATGATCAGAATGTTTTGGGTCTTTTCCTACTGCTACCTATGTGATTTGTGTAAGTTATTTAGCATCTCTCCGCTTTGGTTCTGTATGACAACATCTGATGACTTCTCAGTCCCTTTTTAACAATGCATCTTATGTCTTTTGGCTTCAAACTGTTCGTAAATTCCAAAGCCAAAGAAATACATACACCCCCAGAAAAACTTTTGGTTTCAAAATGATTCAGGGTTATTTTTTTTTTTACTTTGACCCTAAGAAAAACAATAGGTTTATATTAAAAATTGCTGAATATCTATTGACGTTTACTATGAAACTGTAGTGGGTGACAGATTTTTGTTGGCTTTTTTGTTTTCTGATCTAGGGCTTTATGATATCATATTAATCAAATAGCATATTTGAGGATGAGAATGGTTGGCCTCTTCAGACTAGAATTTTTTTTTTTAATTTCTGGAAGTGAGGAACTCTTTTATAATTCCTTGGATGACTTTAGCAAATTTTTTTCCAAATATTTTCTTCATGGGAAGGTAGTGGTGGCATACTAAGGAAAACTAAAAAGTTGTCTTCAAAGAAGCCTGATTCTGGTTCTGCCATTTATAGACTGTGGGTTAGTCTTGGGTAATTCTAGGGCTTCTGCTTCCACATCTATAAAATGAGGGGTTTGGTCAAGATGGTCATTGCTCTGCTCAAATGCTATGAAATGCAACCTTAATCAATGCTTAATATTAATTTCCTTTTAGAACGTTGCTGGAGAAGTTTATACAACTGAATCTGTGTGATTGTCATTCGGTTGTAAACTCCTTGAGGGAAAGGATTGTCTTTCTTTTTCTTATTTGTATCCCCAGGGCTTAGCACCAGGCCTGGCACATAGAAGGTACTTAATAAATGTTAGTTGAAGTCAGTTTAATTGTAATTGTAGTCCCTTTTTTTTCTTTGTTATTCACGCTTTAGAAAAGCCTAGTTATCTGGGCCATGAAGTCACCACCTCTGATTTAGTGACCACTACCTCATTTTCAGGCATATTACCTTGAGGAAAATAAACAGCCTTTGAAATAACAAAACCAAACCTGTAACATAATTATAGACACCAAAAAGTGGACATTAGCCAAATTCACTCCTCAGCTGACTTTAAACTTTTTTCTGTTTAACAAAAAATGTGGAAAAGACAACAAATGTTAGTTTTGAAATTAAAACTAGATTTATATAAACTCATACAAACAAATGATATAGGCATTTTCTAATCCCCTCCAAGAGTGCTACTGGCTTTCATTTAGAAAGATGATATTACTGATTTATCATCAATAAGGTATATAAGTGTTTGGGTATCAGAATCTCTAGTCTATCACCTTTCCCCCTTGTGACCAGTGGCACTTGTGTGGAAGACAGCTGGATGGGGTTAAGGATGGTCTGTATTTGTGCAAGGGTAATGGGCATACCTATAACCTTTTTCTTGTTGATAATTCCTTCTAAATCAGCAGCTCAATTCAAAACACATAGCTATTTTATGAGTACAGCCTTCTCCTATTTGATTTACTAAAAGCCATTTTTTGTTGTTGTTTTACTTCTGAAAAACTTCCTAAATAAAAGAAAAGTATCAAAGTAGACTTTGTAGCCAACAATCTGCTAGTAAAAGTTTAACAGTCGGTTGGGGGTTGAGGGGATATGTACACAAAACATTTTCTTAAGTTTAATCTGTTGTTAACATTTTCTCCATCACTTTAAGTCTAGATAATCATAGCTAGATAGATAGATAGACAGACAGACAGATAGATAGATGAATGAATAAAACAAGCCTTTATTTGTCGTGTTTGCTGATTCCAAAGTGTAAATGCTTACATTGAAAAGATAACAACCAGCTCTCAATAGCTGGTTTGAGCTGGCTCCAGAATACCCCTCTTTGTAGCCAATTGACTCCAGTTTTGAGGTCCCTGCTCATTAAAAATAATTGTCATTGCATAACTACCAGTTAAATAGGAAGCTCCACATAGAATAACTTTTTTGTGCAGTGAGAGCTCTATAAATAGTTGCTGAATGAATGATTCTAAGTGGCATAATACCAACTAAAAATGGACATCCCATTTTTAGTACTTTTTTCTGTTAGCACACAGTTGAACATAAAAACATTCTATATTTTATGGGAAACAATGTGTTTACCTGAAAATATTATATCATGAGTTGCCATAGCCTTCCACCATCCACCCCACCCCCCCCAAAAAAAAATAATCGTCATCAAGAACCAACTTTCTGGAGTTGAACATCCATAGCTGGATTGGTCCATAGGCAGAACCATATTCAATGCCTTTGAAAACCCTTTGGGAACCCAAGGTCACCTCCACTTGTTGATAAGGCATAAGAGTAGGACTTTGTGGAAGAAAAATATAGGACATTTCACAAGTATGTGTGTCATCCTTGGACAGAGTAGATTCTAATCTTCTCTATATCCTTCCAGTTATAGTCTATATGCCACTGAAATAAATTAGAGGTTGTCAATACTAAAATAAGTATTTGCTTAAAGGTAACCAGATATCAATTCAAATGAGGCTAATTCTAGGCATAAAGTATTACCTTCAAACCTGCAATGGTTTTCCAGAATAGAGGGAGGGTTTTATGATTGGCCCTTGTTGTTGATTAATGTCAACTATGATAACTAATGCTTATTGATGGTAGGATAAATCAAACTAGGAAAACTGAAACTATATAAGTGTAGGAATAGTTCAGATTTCAGGACAGAAGAGAAAGCATATGGTGATGGTTTAATAAAGAATGGGCACCCAGAGTTGGGGTTCCGAAGGTAGGCACCAGACCTGGAGATCAGTTCATTTTGAGAAAAATCCTCTGTCAAAAGTCCATATTGAGTCCAATATCTGGGATATTTATCCACATGCCAGAGTCTGCTAGGCAGAAAGTCAGCTTGAGGACAGATACTAGAAACCAAGTCATGCAGGTACTGGGTTCATGATCAGGAAATCCAGTTGTTGGAGGAACTATTTATGATACAGGATCTGAGCAATAGTGGAACAAGGAAGTTACTAATTTACTACTGAACTGGAATGCAATACGGGGATTTTGTCATAGGGAAAGAAGTCAGTAACCCAGTTGTGTAGTTATCTGGGTCAGAGTAAGACACACTGCAAGATTGACTCCATGCTGAGCTGTTGATCTAAAGCTATTTATATTCATATTAACTTGTATTGGTCTCAGAACCTAACATAGGATCAAACCTCCATGTGGGATTCAAGTGGTCCCAGATGTGGGAGTTTTGAGGGAAGCAAGGATGCAAATGGCTAAGCAGTTCATTAATTACCAAATCAAACATCTCACATTATTTTGTTTCTTTTATCATCATTTGCAATTGATTTTCAGTTATTTCAGATATTGAAACATGAGAATCAGTACATTTATGTGGTGTTCTGAATGATTGCTCAGCAATCATTATTTCACCTTAAAAAAACCCCAAAAACATCAGATGGAAAATGGTCAGTTGATACATAACTATAGATATGAACACACACACACACACACACACACACACACACACACACAGAGTTATAACTAAGACTATTTGAGGCTTGTCTTGTGCAAATCAACCTTGCGACCTGATGTGGCAATACTTCTTTCATACAGCAGCAAACATAATAGTGACCTTCCCTTCAAGGACTCCATTTTATGTGGTGGGGTTTTCATTCCAGGACTTCTTTTATACTTACTGCATTGTTTAGAATTTTAGAGATTTCTTCTGTTGAATTAGGAAACGTGGAAAGTTGGTGCTGTTTGTTTGTGTCCCAAGGGAGCCAATACCTCTAGTTTGTCTGCTCTGTCTGTGAGTGGGTGTCATGAAAGGCATTAGACCACCTGATCTCATTTTCTATACCTGCCTTCTATTGAATCAAAATGTGACAGGTAAGTTAAGTCTGAGGCTTCAAAGGACTTTAGGCAGGCCTTGACAGAGGTTGAGATATGCCCATACCGTTAGAAAAGGTAAGCTCATTGAAGGCAGGAGTTTTGATTTTTGTTTGTTTGTTTGTTTATCCCCTGTACCTAACACAATAAATACTTTGCATATAGTAGATGCTGAATAAATGTTCCTGTTATTTTTCTATCCAGTATTGCTACTTCTGTGGTCTGATGCCAAACAGAACCATTCTAATCTCTATTCCATCTGATAATCACCCAAATACTGGAAGAGAGCTTAGGGGAGAGGAAAGAGCAGCATAAATATGGGCTCAAATCCTGCTTTTTAATATTGAACTACAGTAGGGTGAAAAAACTAAAATAAGAGAAAACATGGTTCTTGACCTCAGAGTCCTTATAGTGTGGTATGACTAAAACACATAAGCAAAATAATCAGAATTGATGGTAGCATGGTTCTCTAGAAGTAAACACAGGCATTCTGATAGAGGACCAGGATTCAAAACTTGACAGGTGCTTGCTAAATATCCTTGAGATAGACATTTAACTTCTCTAAACCTTAGCTCCTTCATCTGTAAGAAATAGAAAATACATTATAAATACATATAGGCATATTTTGAGGACCAAATGAGATTTTACTTATATTATGTGCACAGACACACACATACGTATAATGCTTTGAGTTATCAAGTCTTAGAAATTATATCCTCACTAAAAATTATCTTGTCCAGGCTAAATGTCCCTTTTTGGCCTGATGTTGAGGTCATTCACCATCCTGGTTGCCATTTGGATGCTCTTTAACTCTCACGCTGACCATCTAGGATTCAGATATTTCTGACTAACTACACACGTGATCAGTCTAGTTTTCTCAGTACTGACATGATGATGGTGGATTAGATACCATTTTGTATTCTGGTGGCAATGCTTTTCATTATTCTAATGGGAATTAAGAATTAACTGCTCTTTAACACACACTAATAAACATAGGATCATCCAAGCATGGCTTATGGCCTTAATTTGATGATAATAGTATTAAGAACATTGTAAAGACAAGTCAAAAACAATTAGGAAATGGGAGTATTATCTAGCATTTAATTAGCTAATGTTTGTACCTTGGATGAAGCGTCTTTAGGTAGCACATAACTAATATTGCCATTATAGTAAAAAATTTTTAATTAAAATTAATTGGAAAGGGGAAGGGTATAAAATCTTGCTGAAATTTAGAACATTTGCAAAAATTGCTAATTTTATTATTAGCTAGTATACATAGTTCAGAGTAGTGTTACTTTTGGCTAATAGAAAATATGTAGGGGCAACGAGGTGGCACAGTGGATAGAGCACCAGTTCAAATCTGGCCTCAAACACATATACTCATTACTTGTGTGACTCTGGGCAAGTTACTTAACCCCAATTTCCTCACATAAAAAAAAAAAGAAAGAAAGAAAGAAAGAAAGAAAGAAAGAAAGAAAGAAAGAAA